TTTTTTAACAAACAAGTCGTGTTAGGTGAAATATGTCAACTTGTTAAAATAAAATTAATATAAAAAAATTATTAATTATTTTAAAAAAATTAATTAGAATAATATATATAGTTTAACAATTAGATCAGCTTAATAATTATTTTTTTATTATAATAAAAAAAATTATTAAACGGGTTGAACTAATCGTGTCGTATAATCCGTTTAATAAACGAATTATATACGTGTTAAAAGATTCTTCCACAAATTTGATTAGACCCGATACAAACCTGCTTAAGTTGACAACAGTTGACACCCCTAATAAGTGTATCCACAAATAAAAAAATGTAAAACGATACCCCTAGGAATCGGGGTGTCACACAAAAAATTTATTTATCATAAGAACACCATGGTAACAATTGAATTGATCAGGAAAATTATTGAATTATTTTTGGTCAAAATCGCATCACTTGTAATCAATGCCACTACACCAAATAAAAAGATATATTATTTCATTAATACCCTTTAAGAAATAAATATTCATGTCGACAATAACTTTTTCAAATGTTTCAAAGCCAATTATTAAATACAAGTTTGGAAATTTATATAAACGTGACAATTATTTATGGGCATCCCAAGATGAAAAAGGTGACTAATTTTTTAATTTAACTAGTCAAATTAATGAGAAATTGCATCATGTAAGTTCTCAACAATGCAAACACTTACCAAAGTTTAAACCATATGTAATTATGAGAAAATATATCATATTAAAGACACCTTAAAGTGAACTACTATGAAAAAACTATAATTTGAAAGAAAAACAAAAAAAAACTTGCATATGCTTTCCAAAACGATATGTTCGATGTAATTTGCGATGCTTATTAGATCAAATGCCTTCTCTTTAACGCTTTGCGTTTCTTCTGCTCACCTTGTGCTGCAGACTTTCTGTTTGTTCTTTTCTTTCAGCTAACTTGCTTTCATTTTTCTTGCCTACCTAGAATTATGGAATCATGAAAAATGAAACCGAAGAGCTGACAAGTCAAGACGTACATCCCAAGTCAAGTCAAGTCGAGAGAGAGAGAGAGAGATGAAATTTTGAAAGAGGAAATGGGATTTATTTTTTTCGTTTTTCTTTTTTTTTTTGGGTTCATCTGGCGAAGGTGTTGAGTCAGTTTTTGTACATTTTGATTAATTTTCTCTTTGATTTGGTCAAAAACAGGTCATGCACGCAAGGACTAGAGTATTCATAAAGGATAAATTTCTCATGATCTGGTCTCAAAAAATTGTCAAAATTTAACGGACGAATTTACTGCTCATTTCTATGGAAACAAATAAGTGCTTAGAGAGGGAATTATTTATTTAGAGAGAGATGGGAAGGGGGATGATTTTAGTTTAGAGAGATAATTAATAATTACTTGATGTTAATTAAAAAATTAATCATAGCATGTAAAGTTGCTTGTTGTATCGTTCTTTGACCCATTCACTCATTAGAGCCGCCAAAGGGTAGGGTCAGGTTTGGTAACCCGTAAGCAAAGCAAAAGGCCGTTTATGCTTCAAAGTTTTAGATAACGTCAAGCAAAATAAAATAAATTAATAAATAAATAAAAAGAAGTCTATTTATAGTACCAAAATTTTGAAAATAGATCTATATCTCTTTTAATATTTTAAAAATAAATAAATAAATAAAAAGAAGTATAATAACAAACTTTTGTAAATAGATTTAGATCTCTTTTAATATTTTAATAATTTATTATCAATTGAGTATTAGTAAGAAACCCGCTTAAATTTCATTAATTTTGCTCAACTATTTACATAATTCTTCAAAAGATGACGTGGACGGACATAGACATAGACATAGGCCTAAGCTACAATGGTAGGCATCGTAATAACAGAGTAAGAATGAGGGCAATTTGAAGAAATATAGTCAATAAATACAGGATAGAGTCACCAGTCTAAAGGTAGTTGCCTCTCACTGGTGTCATTTTTCGGTTTCACAGACGTGAAAACAATAGAAAAGAGAAATCTCTGTCTCTCTCTCATCCTCCTCCTCCTCCTCTGCTTCTCTCCCTCTCGCCATAAATATTACTACCCAGAGCTCCTTTCATGGCAAAGAAGCGAAAATCAATCAGGATTTGAAGCTATTGAGTTCATATTAAGCTATTGGGTTCAAATCATTTCGTTGGAGGTTTATTTTTTATCAGGATTTGTTTGAAGTTAGAGTGACCAAAAAAAAAATCAACAGTAGTGAAAATTGCAAGCAGTTTCTTGTGTATTGTGATCCCAATCGAAATTCTTAGGACTGCTCTTTCTCTCTTGATTATGTATAGCTCAGCCTCGATTCCGAGAGACAGGACTAGTAGTAGTCTTTTGTTTTCGTCTTCTGGGTTTAAGCACTCGTTTGTGGAAGAAGAGTCGTTGAAGAGCAAAGAGTTAATAAGTTGTGATCTGTATCATGGTGATTATCAGAAACAACAGCAGAGCTCGGAGTTAATGTGGTGCCGCTCTGATCCGAGCTCCTTCTTTGCTGAAATTCTTGGCAATGGTAGTGGTAGTGATTATTTCAACCCTCAATCGGTGACGAGTCCTGAATCTGGATCTGACTCTGTGTTCGCAACGCCGCCAATCAATTTGGATTCAAATCTGAACTTATCCAAGTCCATGATTAATCAGCAAGTAAATAAATTATCTGATTCACAACTTAATAATGGATTCTCCTCTTCTGCTTCGGAGATGATTTATGAAACAAATCCTCCGCCACCACCTCTACCAGCGGTGAGCTCCGCCTCTGCAGCTGATGTTGGGTCTTACTCTGCTGTGAAGATGGAAAGTCCGATAGAACTGAGGACTCCTAATGCTAATTGCTCCAATCTTATCAGGCAGAGTAGTTCTCCAGCTGAATTCTTCTCTGGTACTCCATTATTCTTGCTTTAACTAACAATTTCGATTTACTTTAAATTAATTGAATTGCAAATTTAGTAAAAAAAGTTCTTAATTTGTACTTTAATGGATGTGCTTAAAAGTTAAACCAGCAGAGATCTCTACCATTTGTGTACAGTAAATAGAATTGACTTTGAGGTTAGTGGTTAGCCATCCTGCGGTTGAACTTTAAAGTCGCGGGTCGTCCCCTTCGCCTGACTGAAAAATAAAAAAAGAATTGAATTTTAGCCTCTTTTGGATCTGATCAGAAAAGGTGGGGAAAGAGTAAAAATACTGCTAAATGATGCTTTTGTTTTTTCCATTTTGGGCATGGGAGATAAAATGATCATTACCCACTTTTTTTTGGTGAGTTGAAAATGAATGGGAGGGATGAACGAATTGGGTATACATGTAACTGGTTTGCTTATGTGTAAAATGGCTGTTCATGCCAGCACCACCTTGCTACAAAGTCTTTAAGAATTTAAGCTTTACATAGTCTTGAATCTTCAGCTTGTAGTAATTGATTTAGTGTAGCTATTGGAGCTCTCATGTTTTGCATCTAATAAATGTTTCAAGCAATTTGCGATTTGTAATTGATCATTTCTCATTGGATTAATTTAGGGTTGCTGAGATTCCTCTATCAATTTCAGGATTTTCTGTGACGGGAGCTAGTAATGGAACCTATGGAGAAACCAGTTGTTCAACTGTCAGACTGAATAATCGTAACAACTTCTCATCCGGGCCATCTTCTTGCTCAAGGTTCATGCATCAGATTGCTGGAAATGTAAATGAAAGCATAGGGACAGGTAGCCATGAGAATGGACACTTGAGGAGTGGTACCAACACCGATGGATGTTATGCCCCCAGCATTTTAACTGATTCTTGGAATGATTCTACATTTAAGAGCTTAAAAAGAAACAGGGATGGTGATGTGAAGATGTTTCCTAGTTTGAATTCATTGGAATTTGAGGTACCATTCCTTCATTATCAGTAAATTTTATGTCCTCTGTTTCTGTTTCTTCAGTCATTGATGTTACCTTTTCTTATCAGAATGTTAACTCTAGAAATAACAATCCTGGTTTGACTCACCATTTGAGCTTGCCAAAAACTTCTGCTGAGATGGCTGCCATAGAGAAGTTTTTGCAGTTTCAACAAGATTCTATTCCTTGTAAGATCCGAGCCAAAAGGGGTTTCGCCACTCACCCACGAAGCATTGCAGAAAGGGTAAAGCTCTACCTATTGTATCCCAATTATTTTTATTTCACTCAGATCAAACAAAAATTATATTTCTATATTACTCAAAACGAATTAAGCACCGGCATGAACTTGCCATTGTGTTCATTTGTGCTCTACAAATTGCAGATGAGAAGAACACGGATAAGCGAAAGAATGAGAAAGCTGCAAGATCTTTTTCCAAACATGGACAAGGTAGTTTTTAGACTCTATTTTTGAAATTCATTTCTTCTACTAGAGATAGTTAGAAAGTCACGTTTTTTTCCATTGGCAGCAAACAAATACAGCAGATATGTTAGATATGGCAGTTGAGTACATTAAAGACCTTCAGAAACAGGTCCAGGTACACCAAAGAAATCACTTTTTAGTCGAAACTCACATGAATCTCCAGCCAACTTTATCTTTCCTTATAAAATTTCTTATTTTTGGTGTAGACACTCACGGATACTCAGACGAAATGCGTGTGTTCAAGTAAACAGAAATAAATTTTACTGCCTTCGTCGGTTTGTCCAAAAAAAACAAACCGTAGGGGAAAGGAAGAATGGGAGAAGAAAGCAGAGGTAACTTATCCATTTCATTGCACTGGAGTGCGGAATGTGGGCCTTCTGAAGCCTAAGAGTGGTGTTATTTTCACTTATAACCCGGATTGAAACTTTTAGAGGTTATCATCCTGTAGCTGATTATTCTTATTGTATAGCATATACTCAGATTCACCTTGTAGATTATGTAATGTACTGTGTTCAATTGGGATTGTTCTACCAATTTCTCATAAATCCCACTTCAAATCCACTCTAGAGTGATTTCAAAAAATTCCATTCTAGTTTTTCCTTTCCAATCTTCCACTAAGAAAGGTATCAGTTGCAACTTTTCGGTTACAAGTGGATTCCATGTAACATATGTTACAACTAAACCAATAACTACAATGAATTAGGTATCTAATTAAGATCCAAAATTCGGTCACTCGTGGACAAAAGGTGACGAATGGGAGTATATCAAAGCAGTGGTTAGAAGGTTTCGGCTGGGATCAAATGATCTGTGTGAATTACAGGGTGAAAGTACTGTGGTGATTCATTGCTACTTTATTTCTGAAGCTTAGCTTCAACAATATTTTCACACAGTGCAATGAACAAATTGGAGAAAGTTCACTGTTTCTCTCCTATTGTTCAATCCTCACTCTCCTACTGTTATGGAGAATTAGCAAAAATGCTTCTGGAGGCCATGAAGTACCCCCAGCGAGAATGTGCAATTCACCAATGTATAGTGTTTTCTAATCATTGTGCTGGAAGGTATCACATGGTATATATACAAAAATTCATGCCCTAGAGTGCGAATAGTCAAAAGTTGACACAATCGTGTGATAAGAATCGACTCTCACATGTCCACTCAATAATACATCGGTGTTTGCAGGGTGAGAGAGGCAAATCTTAGCTACTGACGATTCAAACGTGGTGACCCTAAATAGGGATGATAATCGAGTTTAATTTTATGAGCTTGAGTCAAGTCCATTGAACTCATTTTTTTAAATAACTTTAAAAAATTGTTCAAGTTTAACTTGAGTTGAGTTTTATATGAGTTGAATTCGAACTGAGTCTAAATAACTTGACTCGATTATCAGTTCTATCTCTGAATCCAACTTTCTTATGTCCATCAGAAGTCCAAGTCACAACTGCCCTATCCATCCATAAATAAACAAAAGCAAGATATCATAAATCTTGATGTTCTCATAAAAGAAAGCTGCCTGAATTTGTTTGAACAGAGTTATCAAATCACATGACTTGCATGTATATAACCATCAAATTTTCATTCATAACTCATCAAATCTGCTTTCTTTGATTGATTTGGATTGTAACGGAGCAATTTGATTGTTCGAATATTAATCTAACAAAATGTAATCAAGTAATTAGCTCCATCACAAGTGAAAGTGCTTGTGGCGTCATCATAGGCGTAGCTATAAGCTGTTGGGCAAGCAGCTTTGAACACCTCAGAATACCTTGTAGGCTTGCATTTCTTGGGGTCATTATAATCCCCAGTGCAGCAGTATTCCGGTTTGTTGAAAGCCATGCATGCACTCTTACACGCTACGATACGGCCGTTTGAAATTATTTGCAGGTGACTAGGACACAGTAGGTTCAAGTCCAAAGACATCTAACCTCGGTACAATTGCCAGATCCACCGGATGGTACTATTGAAATGGGAATGTTGAATCCATCAACAAGGCTAACATCATAGAAGTCAAGGGGGCTATCTAGGGTGAACTCAGCAAGCGATGCAGGCGGTGCACCACCTGCCCCTGCACATTGTACAACACCTCCACAGTCGCCGGTGATGCAGCGACCTTTGCCAGATCGATCAAAGGAGCACTCGCTACGAGCCCAAAACCGGCCTGACCACCCTTTAGGTGCATTGATGTTTATTTTCTCATTTTGTTTTAACTCAAGCCCACCATTGACTAGTTGAGGTCTTCCAGCACCTGATAGGATCCCTGGCCATATAGTCCTCTCACATCTATTCTGCAATGTGAAAACCGCAGCATCGGTACCGGAAAAACCGCAACTCCAGCATGAAAATACCAGGATGAGGGAAAGATGAAACAGTGCCATGAGGTTGAGGTATGGAGTTCTGAAAGATGTGATAGTTGAGGTTATGTTGGCTCCAATAACAGGGGGAAGAGTTATATATAAAGGGGAGGTTCAGTTCCACACCCTTTATGAGGTGTGATATTAAATAAAAGAAGAGTAAGATTGGGTTTTCAAAAGTGGTTGTAACACTCTTGAGTATTGGCAAGGTTCAAAGAGACGGGTTGGGGCAAAGAGTTTGCTACTTATTGACTGTCAAGAAGGCAAAATTAAAGGAAAGGAAAAAACAATTGGGTTTTATTGATGGTTAGTTTTGATTTTCAGTTCATATGACAAATGTATGTAGACATTATCATCACTTTTTTTTAAGCAGGGTGATTTGAGTGGTAGGATTGGGGTCCCTTGGAAGACTAATTCCCTCAATGATGGATAATCCAACATATATTGGCGAGATTTACTTGAAAACAATGAATTTCATTTGAATTCAGGTCCAACATTAGAGGGATTGAGAGGAAAGTAATATTTAATATTTGTGTGGAGCAAAATTCTTTTAAGTGGATCTTTTCGAGAAAGAAAGAAAACATTTCAATGATTGAGTCGTGTACATTTTCAAAACACAACTCCTCAAGTTTATAGACTAGAAATAACCAAAAGGGCCACGGAAACAGCCTTTCTGTTGGGAGGAGTAAGGTTGCACACATCTAATCCTTTCCAAACCCTGCAATGATGGGAATCTCGTGCATTAGGTACTTTCTAAATAACAAAAAGGGCCAATTTATTTTGTTAGGACTGAGAATCATGTGGAATGGCTTATTTCCATGTGCCATCCTTTCTGATTCTGTCATCTAAGTTATTCATGGGTGTTGAGTACGAGTCTTTATCAGATGAACTTATTCAGGCTAGGGCTTCAGGCTTTAATCATAGATACATGTCAACAATCATTTGATTTAGATGTCCTGCCTTGTAGTGTTATGACCAATTTGGTCTCATTTTCTTATGTTTTATAGTATACTAAGGTCTCAATAATTATGATGAGGCACCAAATACATTATATTCAGAATTAATTCCGATCATATATGGATATTTTATCTCAAAAGAGTACCCTACTAATCATCCCGGACATATTGTCTCCAATCCTACATACACCAAACTATTACTCCATAAATTCTAACTGGTGGTCGTAACTCGTAAGAGGAGACTCAAACTCGGTACCTCCAATTTTGTATGGTAGGCTCATGGCCAACTTGTCCATCCTTTCGGGTTTCAATCCCTCTTGATTTTGCTCGATAGATCTGAACTTTATGTGATTCTTTTAAAACTATCTCATATGGTCATAGAAACGGAGCTATTTCCCAAACATATGATTTTCGATCTCTATTTTCAAAATCGAGTGATTTTTAACCTAGTACCTAATTTTTCATGCAATTTTGTGAAGTCTTGTTTTCTTCTTTGTTTAGAACTTGGGAACTGAGACATGAGCTTCATTTGTAGTTAGGGACGTTAATCGAGACGAGTTACTTGGTATCGGCTCAGATAAAACTTGGTTCGAGTTTGACTCGTGTTCTAAACGAGCTTAGCTTAGATAATTTTTTAAGCTCGTTTAAAAAAAGATGCCTAAAAAGGCTTGGCCTGAGCTCGAAAACTCGTTGTTTATGTATAAAATAGTTGAGCTACTTAAACTCGGCTCATTTTCTAAAAAAGTGGAGTTTGAACAATTATTTAGATTCATTTAGAAAAATTAGCTCAACTGACTTGAGCTCAAGTTTGCAAAGGTCGGCTCGATTAACACCCCTACATACAGTTACTCAACAGTTGGTAGGTTTGATGGTAATAATACTTTTTTTTTTCAGTTTATCTTCATTGCAAAACACATGGATTATACTGGAAAGTCTATTAGTTCAACTCAAGCAAGTAATAGTGAAATTTTAGGAATATTTCATGTAGATGGCATTTTTTTTTTGGGGTTTCAATCTGTGGTTCTGGTTGCTAGATCAGCTAACCTTTCAGATTTTGTCAACACTTCCTTTTTTATTTTTCACCTTTTCAGCTGGCTATAGTTTTACTGCGCCTTCCCTCACTTCCAAGTGATTTAGCAGTATTTTCTTATGATGACCTAGTAAAGCAAGCATCATTCCCCTGTGCCTAAGATTTAGTCAGATCTATGAGGTTGGTAATAGTTAGGCTTGGCGAGAAAGTATTTTTGCTTATATCATTAGCTCGTGTAATCCACGTCTCTAGTGTTTCAATCACCTTCCAATGCCTCCCTCCATTTGTATGAGGAATTGCACAATTGAATAAACTCAAAAGGGGTATGCCCCATGAGAACTAGAAATAAGCCTTAAGCTATTGATAGTACATTCATCTTGACTTCAAATGTGTATGATATCTATTTCAGTACCATAGACAGAAAAAGTAAACCAGAACAACCCAAATATCAAAGATAAAACCTACAGAATTTAGTACATAATTTCGACATTCGACAACTTATTATTGGCAGAGTTAAAAATCAGTCTACAGAGAGGCTCACTGCAGCTCTCTGGACACTTATTTCATAACTTGTCCTGCTCTATTGCCTAATCTTATTTCGCGAGTCCACCTGCAACCAAAGGGACAACCATACATATATATAAGCAAATAAATAAAAAAATGACTGGTTTTTTTATGGAGGATTCAAAAGAAAGCAGAAAATAAATTTACAATGGAATTTACAAGATTGGATGAGAGAAGGAGTGAGAGAGTTACAAGGTTCAAAGTTAGCAGTGCACTTCTCAGGAAGCTCCAGGGCAATGTTCCGATCAACACCAGAGATTGGAGGACCATTAACAATAGTGCACAAGCAAGGCTGCCCCAAAGCTTTGATGGAAGTGCAGCAAGCCTCGGTTGGTGGGACGGGGCTAAATGGAGCAACTGCTGCCCTACAAGGTATTAGCTGAACCAGTGCAGAGAAGAAAGTGCTGCCACAAGGAAGGCCCTTGCTTTCCTGTACCATAACTGCCATCACCCCCAATAAAACCAGCAATGGCATTGCCTTTTCGTGAAAAAACTTCATATTTTCACTGGAATTCTAGCAATCTGTGTATGATTTCCCAGTACAATGTATGAATCTCAGGATGGTTCATATATAGAGAAGATAAAGTTCATGCCTTATTGTGCCTATGTCCTAACCCATATTACAGTTTATTCATGTTGTTTGTAACTTGTAAGCTAACTCTGCTAGGGGGCTGTTTGTTCAGAAATGTGCCAAGAACACAATTTGTGTGCTTTTGAAACAGTTTTGAAGGTCAAATATCATGACTGCATCCTTAGAACTTCCATCCCCTTTCAGATAAGTAAAGATGACCTGTTCTTCACACTTCACTGAGATGTTAATCACACAGATCAGCACAATGTTATCCTTTTCAGTTAAAGACTGCACAAAAAAGAAAAAAAAATGACTTGAGATCTCCTTTAGAGGCCACAATTCTATTTCTACAGGGAATTGTTCCTTTCAGAGGCAACATTTCTATTTTCCAATGCTCAATGCTGCCAGATTAGGTAAAAATGTAAACATTTATCCAGCATAATTTCATATGCAAAGTACCACAACGACTGGATAAAAGATCCACTGGTATTGTTTTCCTGGCCACCAATTGATGGGGACAAAAAAATTTATTGCAGTCTGCTTCATATTAAATTACTGGTTCACACCGAACTTGGAAGCTGTTGGCATCTTCAGAAGGGAAACATTCATGCATTCCTGGACAAGAAGTTATCAAGGCTCTCCTTTATTCCCTTTAAAATTTATTAGTGCAAGTCTTGTCCTATAAATTCACCTACACAAATGGATGGATGTTTGCTTTAAATAGGAGATTTTCACATATTGGCCTAAAGGCTGTAACACACCATCCGATATCGTTCAAATAGCTATGTAAGACAGAGGACATGCAAAGTCAAAACCAAACACAACTTCTATTAAGAAATTAAGGATTGTGAATAGTAACCTTGGTGAATGGTGATTTAGACGACTTCGAATGGATGGGAGTAGTCACTCTGGAGAATATGCTCAAGTGGCTGCAATTTTGCCGGCATTAGTTGTCCTATTAGTCACGCAGACTTCATGCCAGTTATGCAATCTTTCACAGACAATAACTCTGTGCATCTAAAACATAATACTTTTCAACTATTCAGAATTTACAATGACAGCCAGCTAATGCCCAGCCACAATAGCAACTGATACAAAGTGCATGGGAGACTTCTTGCAATAGATTGAGTTAGCGATCCTCTTGATGATGAACCTGAAACAACCACAAGGTCAAAAAAAGGGCCAGGTGAACACCCGACTTATTCCCTCCGAAGCTTAAGTTAGTATAAATTTGGAGGCTTGAGCACAATGTATTTCTTTTCTCAATTTAGTTTTTTGTACCTTAGTTAATTTTTTTGAAGAGTATTTATACCTGAATTAGTAATAAGTGTCAAGGCTTGAAGTCTCATCTCAATATTTAATGACTTGCACTCTTACCCATGCGTAATGAGTGTTCTTCACCCAGATCTTTGAGCCTAGTTCACTCGGGCGATAAGGTGACTGCTCGGGATATACCGAGAACTTATGGCTCTATCCCCGGTCATTCAAGTCTTCTGACCAGCGCTTTGACGCTTAGCCCCTAGCGTTCAATGTTCAGAGGAACAGTACCTCAGGGAGCGCCGAAGAGATATATTCGGCGCAATAGCCATTAATGTTTCGCAATCATGACTGCTGCTTTGGGTCTCAAGGATGCAGGGGCTCATTAATAGCCCTGTCCCCGTCACATCTCCATAAATGAGCTGTCAAGTCACCTTAAATGCTGGTGTCAGTCTGTGTATTTGGCTCCTTCAAGTCATTACTCCTCAGCGCCACTTCTTGGTGCTTTTTGAGTTCCGTAACAGCTATGTCATTACACATGTCAATCTAGGGGCCACTAAGCCACCTAAAGTCCAGTCAACTGTCCCCCAGCCTTCATTTTTCTAGTGGCGTGGGACAAGTGGCACAAGGAGGGTGGAGGCTTCCTGAACATGCCTAATTTATAGAGGCGGTTACTTGCATGTTGATTAACCATCAAAATTGTTATTTTATTATATTTAATGATTAATTAATTGTATATTATTTGTGATTAAATGTGTTAAATTCCTTGACTTTTTAGTTTGATACTTTTTCTAGTTGTTTGATTTATTTTGCAAGTAAATTAGTTGATTTAAAGTAATAATTGATAAGACAAATGAAACAATCACAATTAATAAGAATTGAAGAGTCAAGATTAAATTAGGAAGACTTGAAGATATGACAGTAATTTAATCCTAATAAGAGTCCAAGTTGGAAGAAAACTTATTTAGAATTAGATTATGAAAGTATCCTAGAAGATAAAGATTTGACACATTTTCAGTATTTTTATCATAACTTTTGACTATGATATCCGATTTACTTGTTTTTTAGAGGTTGAAAAGAAGACTTCAAGGGCTACAAAAAGTGTATTTCACAAAATTTTCGTAAATTAACCTCTAAATATGCAAAATCCAAGATCGAAGTCTAGACAGTTTTTGTACCCGCACCCCAAAGATTTTATGCACGAAATTTAACCTTACAAGACTTCTTTTTGGAAAGAAATTCTTTCCAAACCAACCTTATATCTTCTACCTATACTTAGAATTAATTTTTAGTACAAATAAGGGTTCTCATTTAGAGATTATTATTATTTTTTTTCCCATCTTTTTATTTTTATTTTAGTTCGTCATATCTGGCTAGAAGGCTAAGCTAAGGCTAGGGGAGAACCTCTCAATGAAGTACGATAATATTATTGATTCTGAGTTTAATGATTTATGATATTTTGTTAATTTAAGTTCTGATCTTATAGCAAAATTTGGTACATCGATTGCTTGAATTTCCCTGCAAATAAATAACTGGCTATTTCACGCTTAAGATAATTATCATTATTTCATAAAATAATATAATTTGATAATTATTCAGGTTCCTGAATAATCTTTTGATTATAACTTTTGATTTTCTTACTTGATTTGTTACTCAAATCAACCAACATCTGATTCTTGTCTCAAGTTAAGATTTGAGTCTTTAATCATTATTGTATGGAATTGAGAAAGAGTACCTGATGCTCTAGTATTTTTATATTATTATTTTAATTATTTAAATCAATTTTTTCCACTCAACAATTTTCTAAACAAATTATTTATTTTTAAGTTTGTTTAAATATTTGTGTGATTGTTTTCTTGTTTCAATTCCTTGAGGGTTCGACCTCGGTCTTCCGAGAATTATATTACTTCACTCAACCTGCGCTTGGATTTACAATATTAAAGTTGAAGCACATGTCCAGCGCTGAATTTTTCAAATTCGTAAATGATGATTTGCTCATTCGATTCCCGATCCTGCTGCTGGGTATAAATAGGAGATCGTAGAGCCATCTCCAAACTTTGAATTTTCGAACTCCCCTTCAGCAATTAACTCCCGACCACTCCTTTTTAGTCTACCGAGCACTCTTACTTAATCTCTCGAGCACTCGTCTTTGAAGATCTCCAATTTGTAAGTACTTTTTCCTCTTGATTTTCTTCCCCATTCTCCCATCCTTCTTCTACATCTCCCCTAGATTCCATCCATGGCTAGAGTACGTGGAACAGCGGTGAGGGCACCCGTCAGGGCTAGCGGTAACCGAAGGTTGAGAAAAACCGAAGTAAATGAAGACAACATCCAAACCTTTAGGAATAAACATGACATCCCTGAGCCCGTTCTTACCTTTCCTTTTGATCCTGACTTCCATAGGAGGGACATAGGGAGTGTAGAGATGATGCCCTTCTATACCAAAGTCATTATAGAAGGAGGGGTGACATTCCCTTTGCATCCCCTCTTACTTAGGATGTTAATGCAATTGAGTCTTTTTCCCTCCTTCAGTGCGGCATTAATTTTTATAAAATAGTAATGGGCATAGTCACCCTCAACGCTCAGCTTGGGGTAGACGAAATCCTGTTCTACTACGACTTAAAATTAGTCGTCGGAGGCAGGTACTACCTTCATGCTCGGGACACCTACATATACCAAGTGACCCACATGTCGGACTCAGATAAGGGGTATGTTGATGATCTGATTATGCTTGACGGCAGTTGGAAGAAAGGAAATAGGCCCGAGTATGACAGATTGTACTACCCCAAAGTGTCGAGGGATCCAGGTGTGTTTTGCACAAACTTTTAATCTGTTCGGCGTTTTACTACTGTTTCTAACTATTCCTATCTTTTCTTTACAGACGGATACAAAGTCAACGCCGCTCAACCCTTAAAGTCCCAAGTCAATTTTGAGGACTTGGTGGGAGTCTAGTCTCACAACCCGGCGGATCCCTTTGCTCGGGCGGCGCACGTTCTTCTCGGCTACCACCCCACATACTCTAGGTTCTCTCAGATTCCACCTTTGTTCGACCCTTCAATCTGGGAGGATAGTTCTTCTTCAGAGGGAGAGGAGGAAGACCTTGAAGTCGATCCAGACCGGGATGTTGAGCGCACTCCTTCCCCTGATGATATGTTCAACCTTCCTCCCATCACCGTCATCACTATGGAAGCCACTGCAGTGGTGAGACGAGCAAGGCTCTCAGGAATCGATGGGCATCTTAGCACCGCCCCAATTGTCCCACCTCTGCCTTCACCATGCCGACAATCGCCTCCATTGTCGCCTCATCCACAGCAGTCTCAGGACCCTGTAGTTCCACCGAGGGACTAGCCCCCAAGGCGCCAAGTGACCCCCTCGAACGATCGGCCAAGGGACTGCAGACGTTGAGACCCCGAGGCATCCGAGGAGTGTCAGACTAAGCAGCGTCACGACACCCTGGTGTCGAAAGCATCACCTTCCAAGTGGGCCCCCAAGTACAGACAAAGAGGGGGCGCCCAGTTTTGGAGTCTGACTCCATCATTGAATCTCCTAAAGTCGTCTTCGCCGTCGTCAAGAGTTTCCAATTTAAGGCTGACATAACCGTTTACCGAGGCTACAAGGACAACAGACTCCTACAAAATGTTGTCCATAACAACATGATAGTGTGCACTGAT